TGAGCGAAAAGAAATATTAGAGTTTGGTTTAGATACGGGTTGATTCTATAACAGCTCCAAGCGACAGGAAATTGTTGAGTGGCCAGTAAATTATTTAATATATTAGCGGGAAGATATTTTAATAAGATGGGGAAAATGTTATCAAGTTCTGAAGTTGTGGATTTCCGCAAAGAAATGGCAAGATTTAATTCGGTCACGTTAAAGTAATTTGTAAGAACACAAAGGAGTAGAGTACGAGAGAGATAAAGAAATTGAAATTCTGTTTCGAGGGGGACGTAACATGGGGTAACTTTGGAGCAAAATTTATCGAATCAATTGTTGTTGTTGGGACGTTTGATAGGTTTTATGAAATTTTTAAACCGTGATCCATAGATGTTGAATTGAGCATGCTGGATTGATATTAAAGCAGAATTTCTTTCAATTATTTATTTTTTCACTCTTAAGTAGGCGTGTAGTTTGGGTGTAAACTTTTCGATATTTTAGAAAGTCAGATACGCTACCAGATCGTCGAAAAGCTTTGAAGTGTAGGGATCTATTTTTGATGGCAGAAAAACAGAAGGGATTCCACCACAGGGGAGAGGGTGAGAAATTATTTTGGGTTATTTTTTTAACAGGTATAGTCGTATCTACGGCAATGTTTAAGATATTATTAAAAACAGAATAAGAATTATTTGAGGTAAGATCATTGGTAGACTAGGAAATTGCATCTTGAATTTAAAAAGAGAAGGAAGTCTAGTTTACATTATTGTAGTCACAGTGGATGAGGCTGATATAGTTGATATAAAAATGATGGTTTGATAATAATTAATTCAATAGGCGATTGTTTTTAGCTGTGATAATAAAAGAATATAGTCTTTTCCATATGGTTCACTCAGAGTGCGCCATGATAATTTTCAAAAAAAGTTCAAAGGAACAGAAAGATAGATTTAAAGCCGAATTAAACTACTCAATGTGTCTAGGGCTTCCATAATTTAGTATGCAGAGTCCAAGTGAATTAATAGTACTATAAATAATAATTCCACGACGAGAAGTCAAATAAGAGTACCAAGTAGGGCGGAAAGAATTGAAATCGCTGTGAAGTAAAGAGTTACGTGAGATAATACAAATTAAAGTTTGATAAATATAAACAAGGATGTTGGAACTGTTAAGGATGTAACAAGACCATACCTCTAAGAGTAATTGGAAATATCAACACCTAGGGTGTTCATTTTGCGGTTAGGTTAGGTTATTTTGGTACTAATATTAGTGATGGGAATAGTCGAATCATTCGATTGTTATTTTTCGATTATCATAATAATCGAATGATTTTAATAATCCAAATAATGGTACCAGATACATTTATCAAAAGTAAATTAATTGAATTATTCGAAAAAATTGCGAGTTTTACTTATTTTCCATTGGGTACTAAAAGAAGAAGTCGACTGTCCATCAATATTGTATTATTATTTATTTTAATTTTAATCATTGGTATAATTCCCGGTATCGGTAATCGCCACACTAATTGGTTTCAGAGGCGGACGCAAAAAAAAAAATATCGGGGGCAGGTTTGAAAAAATAAGAAAAATTACCGTCAGGCCCGTATTTAAAAATTTAGCACCTCCGGGCATATTATTTATGCCCCCCCTCGCAACAAAAAAAAAAAAATAATAATAATATAAAACTTATTATTTCGTCCATAATCGTGATTCTTTAATATTAAAATATATCTTATGAATGAAAATCGTTTAATAATTTTTTTAATTAACAAATTAAACAAATTATAACATAATAAACACACTATTTTCTTTTTTTTTCATTAGGTACATAATTTTTAAAATTAATTTTGTTAAAATATTTTGCCTCTCCTGAGACTTGACGCCCCCGGACATGTGCCTACCCGTGCCCCCTCTAAATACGGGCCTGATTACCGTTATTTTGAAATAATTGATTATTGACTATATAGATTGACTATTGTCGATCGTTATCATATGACCACACAACACAAAATTTAGGGAAACCGTCAATCATAATGTACTATTGTAAATAATATTATATTGATTACGTATATTTACTTATTTTTACTTACTGATAATAAGCAACTTACAAACACGCATTATTTTTACGAAGTGTTGCCATCATGGAATTTCAAAAATTTGAGTTTTAAGTACTAATACCTTTTAGAACGTTTTTAAAATTACAAATTATTACAAATTCACTTTTCTTAACAAAACATTTTTTTTCTAGCATATTCTAATCGTATTTTGAACAATTTATTTTTTTAAGGTACATAAGGTAGGATAACTACGTTTGAAATTAATCATCCATTCATTTCGGGGGGTGGAGGTTTTTGAACCCCAAAACTCCTCCCTGCGTCCGCCACTGATTTGTTTAATACGTATAAATATTTGGATTGAAAATGCATTTTAATTTCACGATTATAGATAATCATTTGATTATTTATACAACCAGTTCAAATAGTTAAATCATGAATTATTCGATTATTCGATTTTTTTTTTTTTTTTTTTTGATTACTAATCATTCAATTATTGAAATCATTCGATTATTCCCATCACTAGCTAATATGTATCGAAATTAATGCGAGTTATGAATGATTACGGATTTGCCGCAATATTCATCAGATCAATCGTATCTGTGAACTCTAAATTGAGTTATATTATCTGAATGAGAAAGAATAAGCCATATTTCAGATAAGATCGCAACAGACCATTTTGGCCAATAAGAAGCTATTATATATAAGGGGGCTGAGCTATGAGGCTTCTTACGTACTACTGTAAGATGTTAAAATTATAATCAAGATTGCTTTCATTAGTATTGATAAGTATTTAGTATTTTATTTTTAAATCATTGTTATTTTTACTAGAAAAAATTAGTTTGCTGTAGGTTGTTTGACTAAGCTTTAAGATTATAGATGAGGATGGCTAGTAACGAGTTTAAAGATGATTCAATTAAGGATTAGAGGGAAGAGGAGAAAAAAAACAGGAAATAACGACGGAGAGTTGATTAACCTTTCCAAAAAAATTTTGAGATAAGTAATGAATCCAGGTAAAATCGACATAGATATTCTCCAATGTGTCCTGTTGGATAGAGAGCTATTCTAAACAACTGCCAATAGAAAAGGAGAAGAATTACTCCGCAGGTAGGACATTCATATTTTAGTTTGTATTTTTTTAGATTTTTTAAAATTAAAAAACTAATGATTTTCGTTTAAAATAGGAAAAATGATTTTTTAGGAATTCGGTAGCTGATTTGATATTTACAACACAATTGAAATTTTTAGAAAAAATTTTGGCAACTCGAAACGGATGCCAATTACCTGCATTTTTAATTGTGTCGTAAGTTTCGGTGAGAACCATTATTAGTCCAGTAATCAAAAGGAAAATACGGTTTTAGTGTATTAATATTATTTTTTATCATACAAGATATTTTTCACTATCTGATTGCGAGACAGATGTGAAAAAGCGGTATTATCAAGAGGAGACATGGAACCGATAGCGTGCTCATTAGAGCAGCGGTTCCCAAACTTTTACAATCACGGAACCCTTCAAAAATATTTTTTATTTCGCAGAACCCTAATGTCTTTAATTTCAATTCAACTCTAATTTTTCTAAAAAAAAAAAAATAAACAATACTCTAAGAAATATTTTTAATGATATTATTTATATTGTTAATGATTACTCTTTATTAAAATTAATTTAAAACACAATTTTTATTGAAATAACAAACAATTATTTTTTAATTATTACAAATAATTTGTAGCGATATTATTCTAGTAACTATTATTTTTTTATATAATATAAAATAATATTTTTTCCAAATATAATATAAAATAAGTTTCTCCATAACCACATACATCTAGCGGAACTCTTAGCATTATCCCACGGAACCCTAAGGTTCTACGGAACACACTTTGGGAAACGCTGCATTAGAGAAGCCGTTATTGCTAGTCCTTGTCAGTAACCATTGATGTATTTTCCGTTTATCAATGTTATGTCATTTTCGTAAAAAAAGGCCGTATTTAAAAATGAAGGATTATTAACTATTTATTGAAAGCTAAGTGCGACTGAAATAGATAGATAGATAGATAGGCTTACTGATTTTAACCGACTATTTGGAATGCAGGGCTCGAAACAAAATTTTTAATGAGTGTTGATTTAATTTTATTAGTAATTGTAGTTTGGCCGGCATGATTAGTGCCGCTCGAAGACGACGACATTATAGAAGTAGAAACTAATACAATAATTAAAAAAAACCGGAATATTTTGTCAGTGAAGCGCACAGAGACACATAACTTTACGCAACGACTTCGTGAACACGAATGATACCAATATATTAAATATTATAAAATTACAATACATAGTTGTTAATAATAATGACGGTGGTGAAATCGAATAACGAAGATTTCATTGGTAACACATTTATAACGTGGCTTGTCTCGTGATGATAATTTATTAATTTGAATCGGTCTGGCGATAAAATCTATATATATATATATATATATATATATATATATATATATATATTATCATTCGATTATTGTCAATGAACTGGTACATTATTCAAAAATATCGTATAATTTACTATAGTGTTATTTACTAGAGATGGGCAAAATACATCGATTTTTTAAAAACATCGATGTTTTTGTTCCATATATCGAAACCCTACATCAATTTTTTTATTACGATGTATTGAAAAAAAAAAAATCGATTTTTTCTAATCCGAAGTTCGATGTTTAAACAATGTATTTATTTAAACATTTTATAATTTATACATAACATACATACAATTTTTTCTTAAAAATTATCAAGGTAAACATCGATGTTTTTGTCGAAAATATCGATCACCGATGTTTCAAATGTAGATACATTGATAAATCGGAACATCAATGTTTTAAACTTTTTGCCCATCTCTATTATTTACTAAAAATATTAAATCATGAGTAGTTCATTAGTAAATCATTAGTAGTTATAATAGAATTGCGCTCCGCACTAGTACTGCCATACCTGTGGTGACTTTCTAGAAGAAACATAGTCCGAGTGTATTCCCAAAGAAAATATTTTACTTTGAGGACATGTTTTCTGCATTAGTCTCAGCATGTAAATGAAATCTTTTACTATGTAATGGTCTTCTTCAATGAATAATATCGAACCTATAAGATTTCACAATACATTAATCGAAGTACATATAATACCTATATATTACATATTTGATAAATTATGTAACTATAAAATGAAGGTCTATCAACTAAATCGATTAACCATCAAACGCAGCATAATATAGTAGTTATATCTACGAGTCGGTATCTTCGTGTTTATTATCATCACTGAAGTTCAATTTGGTATATGATGTGTTTATATTACATGAAGTATTTAATATTAAGGGTATTCGACGGTATATACAGATGTGCTATGGGAAATTTGGCAACGCTATTTAAAAGCATTTGAAACACGTGATTCACAGTAAATTTACGTAACTTACGTAATGTATATTATAATAATAGTTTATTAGTGGTTTGGATTTACGGAAATCAAACGATCTCAAACAGGAATTTAAAACTACTCAATGCAACAGAACTAATTCTTAATAATAATTTATGTATAATTCATCGGTTGTTAGGAATACCAATTGTATATGCGGAAAATGAAATGCAATTATGCAGATTTGAAAGACGAGTGAGTTTAGTGTATAATATATGTACTATAATTGTATACTATAATACGTGATATTACGTGATTCCTTGATCCTTCATCGGACGTCCGTCACTGTTAGTCTATAAATGAGAATCTTATATAGCAGAGTCTAGATAGCTTATAAAGTTTTGCGAACAAAAGAAAAAATGATTTCGGGTATCGAAAACGTCATGTTGTCAAGAAATCAATGTTCCACTGTATTGACTTATTGAGGTCATTTAAATGATTCATTGGTAGGACAGTATAAATTATATCACTGCAAGACAAGTTACTGAATAAAAAATGTAATCTAGTGAATAGTATAATTGAGTTGCCACCGTGTATGATCGAATAACGAATTATTCCATAAAAACAAAATTTCTCAAAATGTAAATTATAACGAAAAGTTTGTTATTAAAACTGCGGATTAAATTATAAAAAAATGGAATTCTAAATAAAGTATGTTAATCAAAAAGTATACTGAGTAGTTTAATTTTTTCGATTTGTTCATTTTTTTATAAAGGAAATAACACCAAATGTGGAGATTATTTTGAATCTTATCAAAAATATTGATTTATTTACCAATTTTTTCAACAAAGTAAATGAAATTATGTTTTCAATTTAATTATTGAATGATCGATTATGGAAATTTAATCACGAGTGATGACAATCAGTGCTCGACTTGGCAAAATTAAAGAAGGGGGACTATATTTACTTTAAAAAAAAAGAACGTCCCCAAAACTGGCTGAGCGTTATGATTATAGCGTTATAATAGTAGGGGGACGTTAAAATTTCTGAAAATGAGTTGGGGTACTCCGTCCCCCTGCGTCCCCCCTCAAGTCGAGCACTGATAACAATTATTTCATACATTTTATCTTTGAAATTCGGTAATAATTGTGAAAAGAAGATGTATCAAATAATGAAGTAGACACCTATGATCAGGGGCAGACTGGGCTGTGTTTACGCGTACTCGCTGTGATGGCTCAAAGTAGATTTTTTTGAATTTTTTTTTTCAATCTCCAAAATCTTGGTTTATTCAATTTATTTTTAGGGCATTACCTTAAATGCAAAAATAAACACTTTAGTTGTATTTTTGCAAAATTCTCATACGAATTGAGACGTCACACTGTTTTTGAGCTTGTCACGTGTTTTTCACGCTCGAGTCGTCGACTAAAAAAAAAAGTCGTGTGACACATCTATTTGTATGAGAACACTTCAAGATAAACAATGGTGATAGTAGTTTTATATCAGTAAAACATAATTGATTAAAACAGCTTTAACATTGTCGACTTATAACAATGATGAAATAATAACAAAATTAGGGTTAATAGAGTTTTAAATTATGTATTTTATTATTTTTGTATTTACAAAATATATGAATTACCAGCTAGATTGAACGTTCAAGAATTTTTACATTTTATTATGTATGATCTTCCTGTACTATTAGAGAATGTACCATTGGAAGAACATGTACCAATGTGGTTTATGTTAGATGGTGCACCTACTCATCATACAAATGCAGTCCGACAGTTACATTATTTTTTCCCTAACTTATAGGTAGAGGAGTTGGAAATAATGCTCAATATAGCCCAGACATAACATGGCCACCACGCAGTCCTGATTTTAACTCGTGTGACTTTTTTCTTATGGGGTTTTATGAAATAACAAATTTATGCCAAAGAAGTAAATAATAGAGATGAACTTTTGATGAGAATTAATAATATAGCTGATATCATTCGTTAAATGTATTGGAAAAAACTTGGAGTTTATTACATCGTCGTGTGGAAAAGTGCATAGAAGTGAACGGGGGTTACTTGAACAACTTTTCTAAATAAAAATTGATTTTAAAAATAAAATGTATTTAATTATGATTATTTTACAATGTTTATTTATTTATTTATTTATTGGATAAACGGGCGTGAGCCCAGGTTAAAATAATTAGGTGTACAATACAATCAAACAATAACATAACATGAATAATACAACAAAGTATAAAATATAAAATATAAATTACTAAACAATGAATACAAAAGTAAAACTATTAAAGGAACAACGGATCCTCATTGGCTAATTTCATTAATCTCGTAATAGGTTAATTTTTTAGATAGTTTCTAGTGTAAAGAGGTATTAAGAAAGGATGATTATTGTGGGTGGACCTAACAGGAATTCTAAAGTTAATGAGAGAAAGAAGGGGTGGGGAATCGAATAAGCCTGTTAGGAGTTTGTTAAGGAAAGAGAGATTATTGAAGCGACGACGATCAGCTAGGGAGGATAAGTTAAGCAGACTGATAAGAGGAGTGTAATCATGAAGGGCGCAGTTTACGTTAAGAGAATGTTTCATGTAACATAAAAATTTTCGCTAAACCCGTTCTAGTTGAAGACAAGCATCAGTTGTTTGGGGATCCCATACAACTGAGCCGTATTCTACGATTAGACGTACAAGTGTACAATATATTACTTTGAGGGAAGCGAAGAGCTTAAAGTCACTAGATATTCTTTTGACGAATCATAATACCTTAAGGGCTTTGCATGTAACTCTGTCAATGTGAGCTCTAGGACAAAGAGAGGAAGTAAAAGTAAAACCGAGATCACAGATGCTAGAGTCAGCTGGAATCAAATTAGAGCCATTCAATGAGTAATGATGAGTAATAGGAGTGCGACTTCTTGTGAATGTCATCGACCGGCACTTTTCAATATTTAATGTGAGACCGAGAGATTCAGCTCATGCGGAGAAATTATTTAAATCATCCTGGAGTTTGTGACAATCATCGACAGAGTTAATTTCGAGGAAAATCTTCATATCGTCGGCAAAACAAAGAAGTTTGCTATGTTTGAGAGAGGAGCTAGCACTGTTAACAAACAAAGAGAATAGAAGAGGTGATAGATGTGATAGATACTGGATTTATTTTAATTAGTTTATTATCCGCGGAGACCGTAGGAGTACCAGGGCTCTCGGTTCTTGCTCCGTGCGGTCGTCGACAAGTTTTTTTTATATAATAAAGTTGTTCTTTTTGTTATTTTATATTGCCGTCTTTTGTTTTTTCTTTTTTTTTCCTAACACAATTCTTAATCTTCATCTAAAAAACATATCCATGTTATAAATCTATGTAATATATCATGTATGTTTACAGAGTCGTATTAACGCATAGGCACTATAGGCACTGTATCTAGGGCCAACGAAAATGTGTGGCTACGATTTTTTTTGTAGCATGCAAATTGGTATAAACATTTTTTTTTTGTTTTCGACAATTTATAATATAAATAAAAAAATATAAATTTTATATTATATATGTCTTGGATTAAAATTAATTTTTTTTTTAACATTTGTTAAAACTTTTATCGTATAAAAATTTATAATAGTTACCTATCATATAAAAGTTTAAATTTGATTTTAATGTTGTAAACATAATTGTTTTTAAAACTTAACATTGCATGAGATTAAACACTTCCTCTTCAAAGAGAAGGTTTCTTAACCATTTAAATACTGGCTTAGGGCCTACGATAGTGTAAATCCGGGCCTATATGTTTATAAATATCTAGCTTAATTTTTAATTGTATGTAAACCTTTCGAAAAATATATATGTTTTTCATCATTTTTTTTTAATTTTCTATGTACTAGTATGTAAATAGTATAAAATATTAGTTATAAGTGTGTAGTAAAAAATGAGTATTCAAAAATGTATAATTATTTCATATAATTGATACCTATGTTTATTTTATATGTAACTAATTATGTTAATATTATCAAAAAATATAAATATCATTCAAATGAAACAGTATAACTTCTTAAACAAAAAAATAATTTTATAATATAATTTTTAGAAATTTTATGTTGTCAACACATTTTATGCTGCCATCTTTCGATTCCAGTCCTTATCATTTTTCGGACAACTGCCCCCAACTCAATCGACCACACGGCACTTACACACACATGGTAAATAAATAATCTGATGCGGGGAAATTATCGGTAGATTCGAATGTCAATATCTAATATTAATATCAATATCATAATTAGTCCGTGGCTGTCACGTCTTGTCAGTTGTCAGTAGTGATGGGCATAATTTAATCATTTCAATAATCGAAATATTAGTATTCGAGACATTTTTATAATCACGGGATGTCTCGAAATAATCATTCGAAATGTTCCGTTGAAATATAATATAATTTTATTTATAAACGTTCTGAGAAATTTTTGTTGTTTTGTGGTTGAGTAATTCAAAAATTATAGCTATATACTTATGTCAAACTTTAAAATATAAATAACTAAAAATAACCGTATGCCTATCAATATTTGTCTACCAACCAGTCCCACGAGTAGCACGAGTTGTAAATACAAATTCTCAAAGTGAACAACTAGTATTTATTAGTTATACGAATAGTTATTCGATTATGAAGATTTAAAATAATATTCCTCCCTCACTCCTTCGTTCCATAAAAATCATTCGAAATATTTTTTCATTCGATACACATTTCGAGATCAAGAAATTATTGTTTTTAAAATAAACGATATATCACTCAAAATAATCTCTGTGGTATATAATCGAATTATTATTTTGATAATTGAGATATCTTGATTACGCCCATCACTAATTGTCAGTATGTACTATCTACTCTGCATCTATGCGCAGCGGTGGATTGGCTCACTGGGATATCGGGAAAGTTCCCGGTGGGCCGGTAGTCATATTAAACACTGGGCCGATCTACTTGGATTAAAAATTATTTTATAAAAAAAATGTATTTAAGTATATTGTATTTAATTGTAAGATTTTGATAAAAACCTAGTGTAAACGTGATGTAAACAGTTCTACGAGCATTTTATCCATGAATAAAGGAGACTTTTATGGAAAATTATTATTATTGGATGGTGGGCCGATCATACGGTAATTTCCCGGGCCGAAATATTTAGCCAATCCACCGCTGTCTATGCGCAATATAAAGTAATTTAAAATATGATTAATACGATCATACGTTTAATTTAGTTCGATTTCATTAATTTATTTTCATTTAATTGTTGAGTTGGTATTGAAAAAGAACTGAAATGGAGCTAGTAAAAAAAAAACATTGAATTCTTATTTTAAATCAATTGAAGTGAAGCCAGTGAAGATCAGTATTAATATTAAATTTAAAATATTTGTTACGTACGCATTGATTTAATTTGATTAAATCGGCTGGGCTTGAAAACGTTATAATTATGATAATAACGTTATAAATGACAAGTTGTTGAAATTTGTAAACGTAATTATAACGAAAATCGATTTTATTATTATTGATATTATTATAAAAATATAATTAAAATATTAAATATAAGTATAATTTTAAGTACATGAATGAAAATATATGTTGTAGTTTGTCAATAGTTTGATTTCAATCAGTTAATAAAAAACCTAACAATAAGTTGATAAAGAACATTTTATACTAATTTATAAAATGATTTAACTATTAGGTATGACACCCCCCTCCCAAAAAAAAGTTTCTAAATACGCCACTGCCTTGTGTAATTGAATAGGTAGTTCTGCACAGTGTGTAGTTTTTATATGACAATAATTATTAGTTTTGAAAATCATAGTTTTAAAACATAAATCTATTCATTTTTGAAAATGAATACAAACCAAAAAAAATCTAAGGGAGGAGTGGAGAAACTTCGACTCAAAAGAAATGCTGAGTTGAAGGCATTAGCTAACGACCCAAAACAAAAATAGGACATTTTTCGAATGCAGTGAGAGCTATTTTTTTATGTTTTAGGCCACTTTCCAAAATTTGCCCACTAGGTTGGTGCCTATCCAGTCTGCCCCTGCCTGTGAGTTCAATGCAAGCATGAAAAATACATTCATTACGTAATAGTACAATGCATTTGAATGGCAATCACTAAACTATTTCAACGTTTGAATATTTGATATGCAATATGCCTATATATTACATCGAACTTGACTCAGAGTCATATGAGATTATTAATCATAATTTATTTAAAATATATATGTTACCGTAAAAGTCCAACTACTAAATTTTATTATTTAATGTTAGGTTTTACTGCTTTTACTCATTAAATTCTGAAATTCTTAAATTTATTCGGGCTTTCACTAAACACGTTGTGTACATTTTAGGATATACAAATTGTCTGATTAATCAGTAAAAACTGATTGACTGTAAAGGCATGCAAATCTTAATCGTGTCAAATTTAATATACCCGTATAATATCTGATGGCTGTCAATCGATCGAACACCGTATTAATTTTCCACCACCAATGGTGTTTGACTTGAGTAGCTGTTGCGTTTCGATAATTTCCATACAGATCAGGAAACATGGCGTTGGTGCAATTCATTTCGATCGCTCTGCAACACACACCTCGTGTCATCGTCAATGTAAATTTTTTATTATTTTTAACTCGACTATGCGGTTCAAGAAGTCTCCCATAGTATTCGAAATATGTATTTATTTAAATAGATATAATTATTGCAGACATTAAAACAATTATTTCTCTCTTGTCCAACCCCGGTCTGCACTTCGATTTAAGTTGACAACGCACTATGCAGTTGGTGAAATAATACAGTAAAGCATAAATTAATATATAGTCGACTCTCAATAATTCGAAGTAGACGGGACTGTGGAAAAATTCGAATTACCGAGAGTTTGAATTATTGAGAAGTTCGAAAAAACAAGAGAGCAAAAAAAAAAAAAAATTCGTATTACTGAGTTAAAAAGAAAAAAATTTTGTTTTTTATTATTGTTCATAATTATTAATTATTTCGGTAAAATAGGTGGTATTAGTCATTTATTATTTTTAAAATGTAAATTTTAACTATATAATAATTATACTAAGTAAATTAAATTACTATTAAAAAAAATTATTATTTTTTGAAGAAATCTGTAATGATTTTCTGCTTCATTGAATTTAGTTTCATTTTTTCAATAGTATTTTTTGAATTTGATGTACTCATCACAAGAACTTTACAACTTACCAAACGAAATTAAAATAAAACTACATTCGGCTGACGGCTATCGAAGAGATAAATTACAAATAGTAACGATTAAGAAATAAAACGATTAAGTTCTCACAATATTAATTCTATAGTTATCGTAAATAATAAGCTAAATTTCTATACGATTGTGTAATAAATTATTAACAAAATTACTGAATATACTTTGAATTGCCGATCGTTGAACAGATGATACTTCGAATTGTCACGTATTAGTGGAAGGCCATATAACTCCGAAAAATAAATTGATGGAACGTATTAATTCCGGAACGTATTTATCCGGACCATATTTCTCCAAAACATATTAATCCGGACCGTATATCGCCGAAATCAAAAATTTGAAAACCGTATTTGCCCGGACCATAAATTGCCGGAAAGAAAAAAATAATTTGAAAACCGTATTTGTCCAGAACGTATAATTCCGGAAAGTAAAATCCTGGGGTCCATAGTTTATAGTCAATATGTTCGAGAGTATTGTAAATTTTCTATATCAAACCCGTTAAAAATCGATTGTATGAAGTCTAAGCCTTAAGGTTGGCAGTAACACCAGTGGCGGATTTAAGGAAGGGGCCAGAGGGAGCTTTATATAATCCATTTGAATTATTGTAAAATAGCAGACTTTTGTGATGTTCCGAATACATTACAGTATTTTAAATAACTTTTACATGTATTCTAAGTACAGCATAAAGATATAGAATACTTTTTTTAAAGTTTAATCTTATATTCTATATAATTACATTATTAATTTACCGTATAAATCGCATTTGTTCTGAAATTTAATAAACCTAATATATTGATGATTTCCTAGTTCTCCAATACTTGGTTCAATGATATCCATTTTGCAAACCAGTAATTTTATTTTTTAAGTTTGCCATTTTTCACGTTAAATGAATTCCAAATGAAAGAGTTAATTTACTATTTTAATGCACCTACACAAATAGAATAATATCGTTTCCTATTATCATGAGATATAATTTTTTCAAACAAGTTAACCTTTTAGTATTTATAGCAAAAAAATTATTCATAAGTGCACTCTTTAACCTCGTTTTCGGTTTATGAATGCAATGGGCTACTACAAAAATATTCTACTATATTGTATAATAATTTCAACAGACAAAGATATCTAACAAGGATATTATTATTTATTATTATCTTTAGTTATCTAAGTTAAAGACGACTCACTAGCGCCTAAAAACTGTTTAGTATAAGCAATTTAAAATACATTCCGGAATAATACGGTTCGGATGAATACGTTCCGGGAAAATATGGGTTTCGAAGTTTTGATTCCGGCGAAATACGGTCCGGATAAATACGTTCCGTAACTTTTATGTTTCGGGAAAATATGGTTTATATACTTTAGATTCTGGCGAGATACGGTCCGGATAAATACGTTCCGAGATTATACGGTCCAGACATATACTTTCCGGATTGTTATAGCCCTCCGATTTCCCAAAATTTAATTTTGAATTACCGTTCTTAAATGCATTGTTTTTTTCGAATTACCGTGTGATTTTCAAAGAACCAAGCATTTACTTTGAATTACCGAAGGTTTCGAATTATCGAAGGTTTGAATTATCGAGAGTCGACTGCAGTGTTTTCTGATTATTATCATAATTCAGAACAAACTCCATAATTAACTCCAATTAATACAATTTGTACACGTATACCAGGGTGATATAATATAGAGGTTTATAAGTTATAATATCATACACCGAATGGTGTTTTTTTTTTTTTTGCAATAACTATTTAAAAGTAGAGGATCAGAGATACGAAACGATATTATACGCAAATCGTAAAAATCGTTTACTAGATCATAACTAAGTGTATAAAGAAATATAAATCTTCTAAAGAGGCATTTTACCCCGCACAGTAGTTAAGTAAATGATATTATTAGCTCACTCGGCCCGCGTGATTTTTGGGGGACAATCGTGTGGCGATTGACCAGGAAACACATCTGTGTATATTTGCATTGAATACGGGAAATATATTTGCATCGTTTTGCAAAAATTTATCGAACGCACCAAGTCGTTGATCCGCATGTCGTAATAATCGTGACTGAATATCAATAAGACGTCTTCGATGCCGCGAGCTTGCGACAAGCTGCTGATGGTTTCGGCCAGATAGTTGATACGAGTGTGTACCTGGAAAGCAAACGTAAATGTATCCTGTATTACTGAAATGACCAACTTGCGGATCACGAGCTACAGTGACTCTTGTCATTGCAAGATGTGGCTCACGCTTTTATTTATATAACTAAAATTAATTTCTTATATTTTTATTATTATGAATTTAAATTTTTAAGTATAAATGTATAAAAAAAAATATCAAATTGTATAAAATGTGTATATAAACATTTTGGCTTTTAGTATTATTGTATTTATCCGTGTTGCTCGCGAACTTATTTTAGTCGGCCATCTTTGCTCTATTAAAACGTTATTTATTATTCATTATTATTATTATTATTATTATTATTATTATTACTATTTTAATAATAATTATTATATTATATAAGTATACCAACAATGGGCAGTTTTAAGTAACTATATGGCCTGCTTTTAGACTTTTAAAATCAAGGGGGCCAGAGAGCATTAATAACAAAAAGTTATTATTATTTAAGTTAAATAAACACGTAAAATGTTCTCAAAATTTTATCGAAAACTTGTATTTAAAACTATAGGGTACAAAATTTTTATATAATATAATAAGTGGTGATACCCACTCATGCCCTCTAAAAATCTTATCTTTGGGTCTCAAGCTTTATTTTTTATTTGTAATGTTGTGTACTAGTTTATACTAGTTTGTATAACTTATACCCACTTGGGTTCTTCAGAGCCTCAGTCCGCTCCTATGTGTATTTATACTCACCTATCCTTCCGTTACCACACTAATGACAAAACAAATATCCAGGTGAAATATAAACAGAATACCAAACATACCATAGTTATATACTAAATTGTAAACTGCACATACTTGTATCAATACGATTAAAGAATTGTTGTTTAACGGACCATATACGTCTAGATTGCGTATCGTTTGCTCGTAGTTCAGTCGTTCAACGATCCTTTTCAACAATCGTACGTTGTCAAAACTCGGACCTCCGGTTATGCCCTCGCCGCCGTCAATTATTGAACAATTGGTGATTTTTAATTTTTGATTTCGGTAGAACAGCTAATTCGTAAAACAGTTTATGATGGTAAATATTATATAATAAAATATTTCTTTTCAAAAATAATACATCTATGGACAGTACCAAGTATAATTCAACGTTTTATGTTCTATACACTTACAATATCGTATTCGTCGTGTATAACAAACTCAATAATCATAATTGTCATGTGAATTCATATATAACATATTTTAATACGAATATATAAACGGAACGAAATGAGAAGGAGTTTTGATTGAGGCTGCCCTGAGCGTAAGAACTCTTTTTTGGAAATTTATTTCACACATGCTTTTTGCCTGCTGTAATGCTTATGTCTTTTTGCAATTTTAACTTCAAAAAAAAAATATAAAATTAATTTAAATGAATTAAAAATTATAAATTCACACTTATTTACTGTTAAAAAAATATAACTGTATAGAAAACTCTACGTTTAAGTATAATAATAATATTAATAATATTAATAATATTTTCGGCAAATAAAATGTCACTTACGAAAATAACATAAGAATGATCTATTTTATTTATTTATTTTTTTGTAGGTTAAGAAATACAAGACTAAGTGCTATTTAAATGCTTTAAAAATCAATGGAAAAAGCATGGAGAATGCGGGAACCATAACGCTTTTTACTAATTTTTTTTTTTATAAGCAAATGACGTCCACCTACATTTTTTTCCAGCTCGAGCGTAACGACATACAGCACAGCACATGTATTGCATTTGACTGAATAGTAACAAAATGCATTATGTTTATGACCGATAGTAAATAAAACTACGCGTATTACTAATTTCACCAAATAACTATAATCAGTTAAAATTTAAATAAGAAAACAGTCAGAGTACACATACTTGTATACTCTAACTGTTATCTTATTTAAATTCTTAAATCTTATTGGACTGTTATCTCCTCTTGTATTTATAGTTCTATACACCTACCTCTTGCTATTTAGGAGGACGTAGTACTCGCATGTGTAGTCTCCGTCATACACATGTACGACATAGCAAATTTTCTTGCATCAGTTTCAATAGTGTGCTGTTAATTATAACAGTAGAGTGAATTGACTTATTATACAATTTAAAAGCAAGATTATTATCTAAGGCCCCACGTAGCCTTTTATTTATATTATTATTTTTAAGTAAGTTATGATTTTTTTGAAACTGTATATTTTAAAAAGGTCGATATCTACCATATCGGATATTTTCTTGATTCGGTGTCTTTCGATTGGACTGTTCAGACGGTACCTACGGTTATTTATCGTACACCGTACGGCAACCCCACGGTACCGTACTCGGTTTTCAGTCTCATTCGTATTGGTAGAATCATAGACGAAAAATGACGCACTATCGATCAAAATATCAAATCGTTTCAACGTAGTGTATTTAAATACATTGCCACAATAAACCGAATTGGTTTTTCTACCGTACGAACAAAAACGATTTGCTGTGACAAAACCGAATGACAAAATTGATCTAATCGGTAATTTTACCGATTACAGTATAATAGGTACTGTATCGTCTGAGTATACGCATTTAAATTATATTAACACTGGTTTATATGGTAAAATCACCGATACGGCAAAACCGCCGATTCGGGATTGTATGAACAGGCTCCTAGGCTATAAAAAAGATAAAAATTAAAAACGGGACGTACTTGAGATATCCCCGGTAATGGCGATAATTCATAATAGAAACAGCCGGAGATAAATGATCGAAATTTGCCGAATACATATAAAAGGCTCCGAAATCATTGTTACCTCTTTTCAATATACCCTCATCACGCCGTATTTTAAGCTCTAAAGAACTGAATACAACGGAGAAGGAGAGCTGTGTGATTAAAATCCCTACATAATATAACATATTCATTGCATTTTATTTTGAGTGTATGTGTGTGTGTGTGAAGTGGTGAACAAATATAATGGTTTAATTTGCAAATTATGGCAATATCGATCATGAATTTGCAGTTTATTTAATGCATTCACGGTGAATATTTTGTTTTTATTTCCTCAAACCAAACATTTGTTTTATTTGAAAAAATATATTCCTGCTCACTCATTATCACTCACTGATTCATTATCACATAATCGACACCGCTAAAGCTATGAGTATGAAATACTACATGTGAAATACTTCAAATGGTATTTATAAAGAGGTTTGACATGAATAAAATATAAATAATACTAATACAATTATCTAAAGGTAATTTCTACCTTCAGTATAAGAACAGATAAAAAAAAAGTAAAACACTAAAAAATGAGCTTTTATGATATAAGGTATGGTAATAATCTGTTAAGACTATACCCCAGCCAAGACTGTTTCGTGCGACGTTGGGTAGTTTAATTAGTTTACATATCTTAATGTTAAATTTAATTTCGTCTTTCATGGTAAAAATGTAATATGCCATAATAGGCGTACAGCCATAAAACGTTCGCATAACTCGTTATCGTGATCTATTATTCGCACGAAATAAAAAAAGAACGAGAAGTTTTAATTACCATCAACGAAAGAAATAAAGTACTTAATACTACAGAGTTAAGCGTGCTCAGATTTCAATGGAATTCGTTATCGTGATCCATCTCATGTGATACTTTTAGGTATAAAATACCGACGAGAATTATTGATTGATATTGCAATTTAAACTTCAAACTTTCAAAGTAATTAAATAAATTGTGGGTTAGTTATAAATACTTGTAATTTTTTGAATAACTTTTTACCGCACAAGATATTGAAGTTATGTGATATGAAAAACAATATAAATTATAGTTTTATCGTTAAAATTTAGTTGTATAATTATAAAATCTGAAATCAATGATAGTATAAATCGTAATAAATAATTAAATCGTCACATTCAAAAAATGTTTCCTAGTGAAAATTATAATAGCATTTATATGGGTAGAATACGATTCCGTACGTTTGTTCTTTTTGGCAACACGATTGCGTACGTTTAAGCTATGGTTTCCTAGAAAAGCGGTGCCGTTATCTAGCGGCCGTAATATAGCGTTGGGTGACGTCACCCATACGTTTTCTATAAATAACATCGGAGTAGGTTACCTAGAGTACGTTGAGTGTCACCGTAACGTCAAATAGCGGTGCTGTCAATTGCATGACGGCCGTCATAGCGGTGATAAACAGTCATACGTTTTTTCGCGTGTAGCGGTGTACTTTTATTTAATAAAATGAGTGGGAACGCGACTTGAACGAGCGAAAATGATGAACTATTAATTGATTTTGTAAAAGATAATGAAGCTTTATACAATATAAAATATAAAGAGTATAGACAAGCCCAGATGACGCATTAAAATTTTAAATGCACCCTTAGTATCATGATATTTGAACATCACACTTTCCTCCGAACGATTTTTTCGTCTTCTGATGACTCTTCATCCTCCAAACATACCAATAATGCTATGTCCAGATTGTCCATTTTCCACCAGTGCACGACCTACCGCTCGAGTGAGTACTGTTTAATTACGATTGAACGCGGTCGCACCACTTTCTAGGAAACCACAGTTTGGTCACCACACGGTGACGTCTATACAGACGGCTGTAAAATGACGACCGTAACAACCGTAAAATGGCGGCTGCTAAATAATGGCACCGCTTTTCTAGGAAACCATAGCTTCATAGATAATAAAAATAAATAAACATGATTGCGTATGAAATTGTATGCAGCGTTGTCAAATTTACTAATTTCACTAATAATAGTAAAATATTTAGAGATAAAAAAAAATCAAAAATCAAAATCAACAAAAAAAAAAAACAAACAATAAATAATATAAATAATAGACATAAACAATAAATATATACTAACAGTTCTAATAAATATAACAGTTCTATAATAGTTCATAAAAAAAATTAATAATAAAAGAATAAATAAAATGAGGATAGCTAAATAAAGGAAAAGTAATTAATAAACAAATAAAATCGACAGTTTTTATTTGAATGAAATTATTGTTATTAAATTATTTGAAAATACTTAAATTTTGATTCCTTGACATCTATAACTTACTACATACTTTAACTGAAACTTGGAAAATACTGTGTAATATAACGGAAATGACGGAATTTTGTTATATCTGATATATTTGATATCATTGACAATAAACGTGGGCAATAAAAGCAATATAACAATAAGTAATTACTAACTTTTTTTAAGTTCTCATATAGGCATGTGGTATACACCAATACCGGTATGAAATTGGCATCAACGTTTAAAACTAAGATATTTATAAAAATTAAACGATCGCACCATTTATGTTGAATTTTCATACTGTATAGAGAGTTTACGAAAAACTTTCGGACTCCTTTTCTTCCTCATCTTTTCACTAAAATAAAATCACATCACGACTTCACCAATAGGTTTCTCATACGATAATCGATTTAGCGTTAGTTATTTATAAATATTAAAGTAATATATTATAATTGTTAGCTCTAAACTTTTTTCATTATAATATCACTGAACCTGATTTTACCACAGTTTTAGAAGCTTAAAATTAAATCAATGTCTAATCATCAATGTGTTATTAAAACGCTTGTAAATAATAATACACAATACATACCTCTTGCGTCTCTAAAGTGCATTCGATTATGTTTTTCGATTTCTGCATGCCGATATGTAAATCCAATAATTTTGACCAGCTTTTATGATATTGCGTGATGATAAATATTATCAATATCACACCGTATACCAAAGTCCAACGACGTAAACACCGAGTGGCTATCCGTTTCATTACTCTGCATAATAGGATTAAGTGATTAAGTTCGTCTGCTGTCTATTAAAATAATAATTTTTTTTTTAATTTAACTAAACAGGATTTGCTAATGGAACGATTATTCCCCCCCCCATCTTCTCAATCCAATAAAATTTATAAAATTCAATGAAAATATTAGGTTAACAACTAAACTAGGAACGGATTTAATTTATTTATGTTCATCTAAAAAATTGTTTAAATTCATTTCCGAAGGTTGTATTTAATTATCTTTAAATAACATATAAAAATTCCGACTGATATGTAATGCAAATAATTAAAAAACAAAACCAGACGACCCATTACATACAATATAAGTAAATAAGTAAATGTAAGTAAGCAGTTTTGATCGGACATGGCATGAACGCGGTGGACAAAATTATAGCTGTACGCTATTGTGAACGTTTTAAACGACCAACCATTGAGCATGGAAAACTATATTAAAAGTAATTATATATTTTGTTTTGTCGGAGGGAATAATTAATTAAATCAAATATTTATGTTTGATTCCATTTCAGTTTTATTTATAATCTATATCTTTATAATTCATATAATTATATAATCCATATGTAATTTAATTATTTTTAACTTATCTAATGTAGTATATTTCTAGTTACAATTTTATAGCTGTATGATACTAATACTTTCTTTACGGTGAACAAAATAATAATTTGTATTGTGATGAACTGAATTTACGATTTTTAATACATCGAGAAATATAAACAATTCAGAAAAACTTGATAGACAAACTTGGAATTCGATACATATATGTATATGGTCATAGGCGTGCGCAGAGGGTATGCAGGATATGCAACTGCATACCCTAAACATAGAGCCTTCTTTCTAAAATTACAAAAAATTAATAAAAATTATGACATATTTGGTCTTATGTATATTATGTGAATTTGTATTACATTATGATTTTTATTATATTTTTATATTCAGTCCTAGACAGTTTAATTTATTTTTGAAACACAAATCATATGTTATAATAACAATTTAATGTGTTAATGAAATTAAGAAGTACAATAATTCAAGCGAGATTAAATAGCTATCAACTACAGAACAAGAAATGGCTATAAATTAAAATCCCGAAAACATTATTGGTGATATTAAGAACTCAACTGTACACAGAATCGTTTTATGATTAATTTTGATTATTTATTAATTTTGTTTTTCATTTAAGTATATAATTACGTTTTTATTTATTTACCCTATTTAAACGTATTACTCAAACAATTTCATGTGTTATGTATTTAATTTTTTTTTTCGTAATTTATTTTAAATTTTAATTATGAAGACAGTTATAATGATTAAGAAATGGCTATTCAGTCACTTTTTTCAGGAAAAAAACTAAAATTTTAAATTAAATAGTCATTAAGACCAGAATTTCGAACGCTTAAATTAACTTTCAGTTTTAGGGGGGGGGACTTGATAGTGGTAGCCTTTTGCATACCCTGAAAAAGAGGTCTACGCACGCCTATGTATATGGTAGTAGTAAGAACAAAAAAAGGGTTATTTTTGAATACGTAATGATGAGGCCACACAGAACGCTACACTACGTATGCTATGTATATACTATGTATACTATGTTTGCTTTGTACGCTATGTTTACAATACGGTGTGACAACACAGAACACGTTAAGTATACTACGTACGATATTTATTACTATAATCACACTGAACAGTTCAGTTCAGACTAATTCAGAATCAGCCATGTTCAAGATCTTGTCAGGTAGGTTACCTTCGGAAAGTGATAGTAGTGATGATGAAGCTTTGTTATTGTTTTCGTTAAATAATAATAATAAGCAAAAAAGGAAATGGGTCCATGAAGTAAACATGAAACGTAAAAAGTTTGGTGAATTTCAATTTCATTTAAAACAACTACGAAAAGATGAATTCAAATTTAAAGAATATTTTTGTATGAGTATTAAACAATTTGATTAACTTTTCATATCACATTTTTATATCACAAGACACCCTGTATTCAATTTCCAATATCGAAACGAGCAACGAACATGCCTGTCGAAACCAGTACGTTGCATGTCGCAACACATCGATCAAAAAATAACCACAAATCAAACACTCGGCGACGCGTAGCAACGTAGCTAAAAACAAAACGTAGCGTACACTATTCTGTGGGGTCACTTACGTCTTCAAGATAGAAAACTATTTTTTATTCGCATAGCGAATATCGCAAACATAGCACGCGTAGGGTTCTGTGTGTCCTCAGCATAATACTAATAATTATAGGACTAGGATTATTATCCTAGTAGATTATAAATCCTATTGGATTTATATGCAATGGTATATTTTTTTTTGCAATTTATTCTTATTGCTTTTATCAGTAATTTCTATGAATCACTTTATTATAGGGAAAATTTTTGTTTTTTTTTTGTTTTATATGTTTTTCCATATTATTTATAAAATTATTATTATTGCATTTTTTAAAGTTGAAATTTTTATTTTTGAAAAATGCAAGTTTTAAGTACATTTCGTTACACGAAGTTTCATTGTATGACAGTATGTATTTCAGACGCTATATAAAAATAATCAAATGTAATTTTTATCATAACGTTGTACACTCGAATGGCTGAAGATTACCTATTATGTGACTAATAACTGTGCTAGATAAAATTATTATACTGTTAAAAGTTAGTATGCGTTTTTACATAGTTAATAACCATTGTTTATATATTGTGTGTAGTATGTAAGTTACCGTATTGTCTGTGAACTGTATTCGTTACGTTTATAAAAATATAGAATACCAAGAATTCAAATGTTCAGTACAACATTTCTATAAATTTCGGAAGAATTTTCTAGCACAGTTTTTAAAACCATAAAAAAAACATAATTTTGTATTACAAGTGATCAAGATATTTCAACAAATAAGCTATTTTAAGTAATTTTACATTTAAGAAAATGTAAAACACCATTTAATTGTTTCATGTAATATATTTTAATAGTATTAATTAAATATTAATATTAATAGTTCAATAATTCTTAATTTTGCTTTTTTAATTATAATTAAAATAATTATGTTATTGTCTATTAAATTTTGATAAATTTGCAATTAAAAAAAAAAATAAATAAAGTATGATAGAATGAATATATCATATGAAATTAAATTCAAAATTAAAAGTATTATGAAATGATAAATTCAAATCAAATTGTTTTAGTTGTTATTGTATAATTGCATTATCACTGATGATAATGTATAGGTATAATGTCGAAATCTATATTTAAACCAGATATTTTCTGAAATAACATAACTAGCTTCGGTTCGACCTCTGGAATTTATTATTGTGCTATGTTCTAATTATGTTTAATACTCAAGTATGAAAGAATTATTCATGATTACTTTTTCGTTTATAATTTAAGCATCACACTTAATTTAAAATATATTTCTTTAAATATCTACGTAATAGGCATGTCGATAATGATAATAAATATAATGAACAACTTACTTAGTAAAGTATACAATCCTACATGAGTACATTATGCATTGAAAATTTAATATACCTGAGACATATTATCACTATTCAATTTAGTATTCTAATTATTTAAATATATTTTTTTTAAAATTTACAAAATTTACAACAGAACACCAAAAATTATAAATATTATTATGTAAACATCTAATATACATATATATATATTAAAGTACTAAGTATTAAATTAAAGTAGATGTACACCGGTAGGTATCATATTTTTAAGTGTGTATAAATATTTTCATACATAGCCAAATTATATGTATAACGTTTATCTATTGCGTTGTGTTATCGCAATAATTTGTAAACTAAATTATTTCATGATTGGATTACATTTTCAAATCAATATATATCCAATAATAAAAAAAACACAAGTCACAAGGGTCAAGTGAGTCACAGGGGTGGGTGACTGATATAGAAAGTTTGTTTTTTATTAAATTTAAAAACGATTTTCTACTGACTTTGAAAAATAATTCTGAGCGAAGAAAACCCGGTGAATCATTCTATTATACACCAAAATAGTATATATTCCCATGTTTCTATAGATAATGGCCCAGGGATCTAATCTAATATAAAATAAAACCACCAAATCCAAACCCCACGTCGAAGTCCCATCGCTTAATCATGAGCAACTAAAGACAGTCCACGAACAAATTCCTTATCAATTATCGTATTGTAATTTCTTATAATATATATATATATATATATATATATACTCGTATATCAAATAATCTAATATTATACATGACAAAATATTGTCAAAATAAACATACAAACCACAGAACATTATATAAACATAAAAAAAAATAATAATTATATTGTTTTCTAAATAATAAAAATAATAATAATAAGTATATAAATGTAGTTAGCATAATTAGCATAATATTAATAGAATATTATAGGTTTTGTTTTCCTTATGCATAGTCGTACTGTGAATCAATATGGACATAAGCAGACCCATCTTTTTCGTTCAAGTTAATTATTATTTGTTTTCTTACGTTTAATGTTGGATTATTTAATCGTTGTATTTCTGGTATTTTTAAACGAAATTTTTTAGTTTGAAAAAATATCAACTGTTTTTTATATTCGTTCTTGATTTGCATTCTTATTTAATCAAACAGGAATATTAGATTCTTGTTCATAAAGCATTTTTAAATTTCTGTCTAGGGATAAATTAATTTTATGTCAATCATTCAATTTACCTGCTTGTGACACAAAAATTAAAACAATGCGCCAACATAAATTGAATTTTTTACTAAATTATTTTATTGCAATATGCGCACTCAAACATTATATCGTCGCCTCAGTTCAAGACTGCAATAACACAAAAAAAACTAATTTTGAGATATAAACGCCTCAGTTCAAGACAGCAATAACTCAAAAATATTCAGAATTGAGATATCTACATAATATTATTTGCAAAATTACGACGATTTCGATTCTATAACACAATAACTTTTAGTTGTATTATTCACTTCTAGAGGTCGTTTATTTCATTCTAGAAGCAGTAGTTTCATAATTTGAGTTATTGCAGTCTTGAACTGAGCCGTCGATATGATATTTGATAAGAAATTATGATATGATAATTAATAATGAATTTGACTATCTCTAGACGCTCGTTTCTTCATCAAGACACCATGTTAAAGAAATAATAATAAAAAAAACCTCATTTATACGTGTACCACATATTATGTACCTATATTTTGTTAAATACGCAAATAAAAAAAAAAATAATAAAATATTTGTATTTTGAGTTTTAGAAAAAAAAAAATCTCATATAATAATCATAATTTAATGACTTAAATGTTATCGATTTATTAATAACAATTATAATAATTAATAAATATAATACTGAAATAACTATGAAGTTTATAAGTCCCTAAAATTAATATTTCAAAAATAAAAAAATTATATTGTTTACTAATTTTTCTTTTAGAAATATTTGAATAATTCAATTAATTTAATTAAAATTCGTTTTTCTTTAAAAGTACTTATGAAATAATATTGCAACTTTTCGATATTTTTTTTTATTGACTATAAAGAAAACCTGAATTGTGTATAATTTTCGAGCCTAATAAATTTAATGCATTTTTAACTACACACATTATGCAATTCTTGTGCTTTTGGTCGAATTTTGTAAAAAGTTGTACAAAATACTTGTAAAAAAATTATTGCTTTGTTTTTTTTCGATCATTTTGCATTGAAATAAAACGTACTTACATATTTTGAGTAACAATACAATTTTATTGAAAACTAGTATCTTTTATATCTTGCCGTAATTTTGTAATTTTTCTTAATTATTTGGAAAACTTTTTAAGTACTATACGAACACAAAAAAATAATTCTAATTAAAACACTAACTAGAAATATTTTTTTTATCAAAACCATTGATCGGAGCAATCTTTCTAGTTGAATTCGTGTAAAAAATGTCCAAAGTGTGTATCGCTGCACTCTGGAGCGCCTTAATGGCTTGACGGGGACGCTGTTCAGCCAACCGTTTTCTGTAAACCATTGTAGATTTTTTTAGTTTTATTAATTTTTATCTAAAAAAAAGTTTATCTTATTTATCTATCGGTTATATCAATGGCACCATGAGATAGTGAAATAACCTGAAAAAAAACTTTGAAAACCGCTGGTGTAGACAAACACAAAAAATAAAAAATAACTAGTTAGTTCTATATTATTGAGAGAATAATACGAGTATCTCAAATGTATGACAATACATTAATGATTATTATATATATATGTTTAATATACTCGTATCCATGACAATGATATTATATGAGAGTAAATTACTTACTATTATTAGAGTAGGTAATTTTTAATTCGCATATAATATTGTTTACATCACCATGTTGTATAACTCCAACAATGTTGGAGATAAATAAATTAGCTTTTAAAAATAAAAAAATTTATTCACTAATTATTAAAAAAAAGTAATAAATTGACCAAAAAATATTCAAATTGCTATAATTTAGGTTTTTTTTTAATTTAAAAAATAAATTCAACTACTACAATTTATTAAATATTCCAAAGAATTAAAAAAAAAAAAATGTGTGCATGCACAAATTTACTGAACAGAAAAACAAATCTGTAGTTATATAAGCTAGTAAAAGTAACAGAATTTAATTATGTGTTTATGCATGGATATTTATTGTTTTCACTTATCGTTATCATAAGAAGAAGTACTTGAAATGTTTCAGAAAATTAGTTTTAAAGTAATTGACAAATAAAGTGATAGATAATATTATTATATTATTATTAGATTATAATTGTATTAATTTATTTCTCCAAAATATATTCTGCACTAGATTAAATACGTATTTTATTATTTAGTTAAAATCCTGGGTATAATTATATTTTTTAACAGTACTAAAACCCAAATTATATCCAAAAAACTGGATGTAATAACTACAATTTTTTTTACGGGGCATGAATTAAATTTAAGAAAAAATAATGTACAAATTGTATACATCTTAGGATTTTTTTGAAATCCTTCTAAAATTAATATTGTAAATTATAGTGTATTTGTTACATCAAGATCATGGTCTTTAATATTTATATCTTTAATTTATTTAACATCAAAAAACATGTTCATACAAATCACAATTTATGTATGGTCATGCAAAAATGTTACCTACATTCTATGAGTTAAAGAAAAAAATATTATTACATAGTACGCTTAACATAAAATAGTTTTAAATACCATTTATATATGCATATTGTTTATTTCAATACCTTGTAATTGAACTATTGACAAAAATCATGAATGTACTATGAATATTTTAAATATATACGGAACTAAAATATTAAATAATGAATCGGTGATTTTCTATATTTTTATCTCTCTATATCAATGTCTTCTCCATATTACATTCCTGATGAATAAATAATTAAGTCATGTGAGTTAAATTAAATGTTTTACGAAAACAAAATATAGCTTTTTAACAATAAAAATAGTCTAGATTTTACTACCATCGGTAGCATAAATAATAAAATAGTGTATGCTATTGTGTACTTATTAAATTAATTTTTTTCTTTATTTATCACTTGAATAAGCGGTTTCTAGTTTAATAAGTTTTTATGATGTAGGTTTACTAAATAACGTCTTTCTTTAGTTTGTTATTAAGCTTTATACTTCATAGTTATCTTAAGTAGTCAATATCATTAATTTGCTATGGAATATTTTATTTTACATTACACAATTTCTTATAATATAAATTATCGATATTTTAATGGATTACACACTAGGCCAGTGGTGCCCAACCTTCGGCTAGCGAACCAAATATGGCTCGCGAAGGTATTCTATGTGGCCTGTTACAAATTTTAAATTAAAATAAAATATTTAAAAAAAAAAGTTATATTATTATATAAAGTACGATTTTTATATTAATTTATTAATTTTATTAATAAGAATATTTTTAAATTGATATTTTACGATTTAATATAGATGTGAGCCATTTACTGAAAATAACATACTGATCAAATTAATGTGAACCGGCAGCTTGTACTTCAATCTGTAATCTTTTCAATAATCAACAAAATATATGAAAATAAGTTCAATACGTATCCATATTTATATTGTACACGAACTACGTGTAATAAAATAATATTATTAGATTAATATTGACCTTATTCGTACTTTGATATTTTATTTGATGGCCCGCTATTGTATTATGTTATACAATTATTGTATATTTTATGCTAAAGTAGCTAGTCGAGAAAGAAAGGTTGGACATCACTGCACTAGGTAATTCGATTGCATGCGTTATTGCTGAAAATTAAACATAAGGTTCTTTATGGGTTGTCTTCATGAAGGAAAATGAGACGTACGTTCGATAGCGTTTGGTCGCACCAAATCATGCATGCTTCATTTTGATCATTCAATCGTGATTTTCAACTTTAATTTAATATTATTTTTCCCATGTAATTCCAATGTATTTCCGTCTTTGCAATACCGATGTACAATTTAAATTCCACGATTGCCTCGTGTTTATTTACGTTCATTCAATCAACTAAAATGTTTTCACTATTATGAGCTGTACTTAAGTATCTATATATTTACTGCTTTAACATTTTGAACTCTTCTAGGTAACTACAAAGGGTCATAAATGTCGCCTAGAATTGATTACTATCTGGTCTTTTTGAATTTAAAGGATGGACTTATTGTCACTTTTAAATTTTGTTCGTTGCTATTTCTTACTGTTTTTTTTACTATTATTTCCTCTTCCTCGTATAGTGCAGAAATAACACATGCGGCTTAATATCATCGAACACTTCCATATTGAAAAAAAAAAACAAAACGAAATTTAATGTTCAATATAAAATTAACAACAGTCATCCTTTAATGAGCGGTACAGCAGTACTAACTTAGTATGTAACAAAACACAAAGAATTTAATTGTTTAAATTCGAACAGCATTTGATACGCTTTTTATATTTGAAAAACGCATACAAATCGTCTAGTGTGAAAGCGGAGCGCGATTCTGAAACGCCGACGCGCGCATACAAATCACTTAGCGTGGAAGCCACTTTAAAGTAAATTTCAAAATAAAAAAACTACATTGGTCAGTGTTAAGTGAACTGAATGAATATCATATGAAATAAATTAGGGTTGTTTAAAATATGTTTCATATTTATATCAAGATATGATGATGTGTCGAAATTGAGTTGTTATTTATAAAATTTTAAATCACATTAAGTAAAAAACAATTTAATTTAATAAATATCAACTAAATTTTTCTCATTCAGTAAGGTGAAATAATTGACAACTGACTAAATAATTATCATGACCTTACATTTCACTATTAAATAATTACAATTCACAAATTAATTTAATGAATGTATTATATATATTTTTATTACATAAAAGATTATTTACAAGAATCGGTCGATTTGTTGCTGTATAAATGCTCATAAATACTGATTAAAAATTATTTAAAGGATTATTAATCAATTTTATTCATCTTAATATCTATTTTTTTAAAAAATGAATACTTGCTGTTTTAATTTTCTTATATTTCTTTAATTTGACTACACGAAAAATTATTGAATGTTTTTAACATTATTTTATATTAACATTAGCTATAAAAATATGAATTCTTTAAACATAAAAAAACATATAAATTAGATATTAAAACATAAAAAAAATGATCGATAAAAAACATTTTTATAACCTCAACCATGATTTTTCTATATAAGTAATGATATATACTTTATAAAGTACATTTCTCTGGCACCACAATGTTGAAAAATCCATAATTTTTTTACGATATTAACTTTACCATAATTTGTACCACTAATTTCAGAATTTGTACCAACGAATTTCTCATGGAAAAATCGATTTCTCTCTACGGGTGCCAGGGAAACGTTTCCCTGGCATCCGAAATCATACATAATGAACAATTCCACATTTTTTTTTTTTCGACTTTAATTGTATCATAATTTGTACCAATTTGTATCTACTCATTTCAGAATTTGTATCAACGAATTTCCTACGGAAAAAATAATAAAAATATTTTCGGGAGGGCCTACTATGGACAGAGTTAAATTGCCACTGCTATCAAAGTATTACTAACAAGACACAGTAGGTACTTATCTAAATTTCGCTTACAGAATATCCCAAAACTATTTGACAAAGACAATAAAAATTGTCTCAACTGATCACATAATTTACATATTTCCTATATTAAGTATAATCCTGTATTTATAAACAAAGGATATATGATGTGGTACTTGAATATAATATGTATATAAATATCTACTGGACTATTTCTATAATAAAATATACTTTGAATAAAATGTTCTCTTATTATAAAATTATAATTTATTTATTTATTATACGAGTATAATTAACTCTTAAAGTTCTCAATTTATGGTTCAATGCTTATTATTAAGAGTTAATTTTTTTTTTTTTTATTAATTAAATCTTAATAATAAGCATTGAATGATAAATTGAGAACTTTAAAACATTTTAATGAACTATTAAAGTATAATTAAATAAAATAAATAAAACCAGGTTAAAATCATTTTTACCTATTTTTTTTATAAAATTATTTTTAAATAAGCATAGAGCACTATTAAAATATAACAAACGTTTAAAATAATTTTTAAGTTTTTTGAAACTTTTTTTTCTTTTGGGGGGGGGGCTGTAGCCCACTAGGCCTCCCCTATATACGCCACTGGTAGATAATAATAAACATTATAGATATTGTATAATATTAAGACTATGAGATTTCCCAGTCTCGCGTCTTGGTATATTTTTCTAGGAAATAAACTGGAATAAAAATAAACAAGCAACTTGAAAGCTATCAAAATTTACTATTGACTAATAAACACTATTTAAACTTATTTTAATCTATTAATGTATAATATTATTGTATTAATTCGATTAATCGACGTACTACATCTCTCTGTAACATTTTACACGGATAAATTATTCATTGATTAATAAATATAAGACCGCACTCATTATTTACGTTCATATAAATCCTGATTTTGTTCTACGAGTGCGAAATTTGGATGTTAAAACGATTTTATTCAATTGGTAAAAAAAAAATACACTCAAATAATACGATATAATAAAGTATAGTATCTTATCTAATTTTCCCTGGAAAACGTATCCCTGGCACCCGTAGAGAGAAATCGTTTTTCCGTAGGAAATTCGATGGTACAAATTCTGAAATGAGTGGTACAAATTGGTACAAATTATGGTAAAATTAATGGCACAAAAAAAAAAGTGGATTTTTCAACATTGTGGTGCCAGGGAAACATACCTTACTTTATGATAAAAATAATAAACTAATTAACATAATTTTTTTCAACAAATAATTATTACTATAACTAGTAAGAATTAAAGTTATGAATGAAGTTTAGAAACTTATTATCTTCTAAAAGATAATATACAGCCAGTAAAATAAATACACTATCATCATCAGTATCTTAATTGCACATTTTTAAAGTTCAAATGTCGGTACACAATAAAAAAAATAATAATTTAAATCATTCTGCCTACCTATTTAAAAATAATATTATCATCAAGGAACGATTACAAGGCTCAACACTAAAAATTGAATTTTAAACGAAATATATCCAAATATTGTATTTTGTTTTTATTTATTTTAAATTAATATTATCTGAATCTGGTATATTTTATTTATTAACCAGTTGTATGGGATTTTTAAATATTTATTTTAATTTTTAGACAGCAATAAAGTTATATTGGATTTTACATAAATCATTTTCCTCCATAATTAATTTAAATATCCTCGGAAAAAGTTTGTAACACGACAGTAGATAAAAAAGAAATCGTTATAGTTTGTTATCAGTCTGATAACTAACCTGAATGAACGAGATTAAACGATCGATCGAAAAATATATAACATTATATCTCAACTTTTCTAATAATTTATCGCATTTTGTAATATATGTTGAAAAAATAATATAGATTCGTGTGAATTCCATCTGCATTGTATCTTTACCTGGTGCATGTCGCTGAAATGTGAACCATCTCATGAAAAAACCAAATAGTAGGTACGGATCGACATGACGTACGGTAGTCGACTGCGGTAACAAATTAAACAAGTTCGAATCGACACTATTCAAAACCCGTGGAGTTGGCAAGACCGCACGTGTGAATGACGTGAACTTCCCGAGTTACACAACGTTTCGTATACGACCGTACGCAAGAATTTATTACTGTCGAATAAAGTATTTATTTATAATAGATTTGACTATCATTCAACGGGTTACACAATAACGAAATGTATATATTATAAATATATATATATATATATATACACCTATATTTAGGTATATATAAATAATGTTTACGGGTAGTCTTCGCGGGTCGTGGTCGATGTTGTCGTCAAAATTGTGTTTTCGCTGGTTCAGAGAAGCTGAGGTGGAGAGTCGCGTCGCATGGTCTCGTCGAAACGTCAACTGCACACTGAAGCTGCGGTCCCGCTGCAAGTTAATTTTTTGTGATGTAATATTGTATTGTGACGATCGTGACGTCTTTGAAAGTCCGCGAACGATGCACAGATATACCACGGTCACCAAAACTTTTGACCGTTATATTTTTTGTTCATTTTTATAAAGTGGTATCCGGTTTCACGTAAAACCGCGAACCGTGTAAGTGTGGCGTCACGGCTGCGTATTACGAAACGCATATAGTAATATAATTACTGTTTTGGCGCGCATCGTCTTTGACGTAACAAAACACGATCCACCGAAACGTGTCATTAATCGTGTTTTCTACAGTCGTTACAAGTGTCGACACTTTTCCAGACAGTAAATCGTAATCGTAAATAATAGAAGCAACAGTGCCGATAAAATACAATGTGGGAAGGAAAACAAATACGAAACGTCGATGGACAATAAACGCACATTTAACAGCAATCATATATATGTGAGGATAAGAATTGATGCGAAATATTATTATACATAGCGTCGCAAATAATGCACAGCAGAAAAATGTGCTCGTAGATTCGATCTATATTAAAAGCACGTACTTAAACAAGATTGTTGCATGCTCCGGCGCTCTAATCAAACAAAACATAAACAATTTCTTGCAAGATTAATTTAAGTGTGATGTTTTTTTTCTTAGAACTATTTTTTTGACATAATACAGTCGATTCTCGATAATTCGAAGTTGACGGGACTGTTGAAAAATTTCGAATTACCGTGAGTTCAAATTGTTGAGTAGTTCGAAAAAACAAGAGAGCAAAAAAAAAAAATTCGTATTACTGAGTTAAAAAGAGAAAAATTTTGTTTTTTATTATTGTTCATAATTATTAATTATTTCGGTAAAATAGGTGGTATTAGTCATTTATTGTTTTTAAAATGTAAATTTTAACTATATAATAATTATACTGAGTAAATTAAATTACTATTAAAAAAAAATTATCATTTTTTGAAGAAATCTATAATGGTTTTCTGCTTCATTGAATTTAGTTTCATTTTTTCAATAATATTTTTTGAATTTGACGCACTCATCACAAGAACTTTACAACTGACTAAACGAAACTAAAATAAAACTACAGAATTCTGAATATACTTTGAATTGCTTAGCGTTGAACGGATGATTCTTCGAATTGCCACGTGTTAGTTGCAAGTTTTCCCAAAATGTAATTTCGAATTACCGAGTGTACTTAAATGCATTGTTTTTATTCGAATTACCGTGTGATTTTCAAGAGACCAAGCATTTACTTTGAATTACCGAAGATTTCGAATTATCAAGAGTCGACTGTACATATTACTTGATTAATACGTTATAGGTACACATACAACAACTTTCTTGTTATTTTAGAAAAAAAATAAAATACTGACGAATTCAAATGCCCTCTATATTTATATATAAAGTTTACACTCATATACTAGTATATTTAAGAACACTATAGAACTGAGGCTGTTGAAATTATTTATTTATGTATAATTAACGGGTAAACACCCTATCGTGAAAACTTTAAGTATGAGTTAATTATTTAAGTTATTTACAGTCAAAACTATAAACGACTAATTTAAGACATTACATAATGAAAATAACAAATACAAAATAATAAAAATAAGACAAAATCTAAATAATAATAGTAATTATGAGACAATAAATAAATCAACAGTAATATAATACAGTATTAATAATAATATTTAATCTGCAATTGAGTTTGTAAGGAATTCAAATAATTTATGTTATAGTTGATAAACTTTTCTTTAATTAGGAGTTAGTAGACATGAAACATACAACACATATAAAACATAAAACACATTTAATAAATACATAAAATAAATGAAAATATTCTGGTAAGTTTATATAAACAAAAAAAAAAATAGAATAGTTAAAGATTTTATAAGCAAATGTTCATTTATTTATTGAACATGTATTATATAATAATATAATATTTACAGTTATTATGCAGTCGTTTTGATATTATGGGGAAAATCCTAGAATTTGGTGGCAGATAGTGTTTTATTCGATCGTTGTCCTTCTATTAGACTCTGTGACGCACTTTAAAACTGATACTGCGCAATAATCACGATTATGGCTATGATATTCAATGCACTCAACAAAACCTATTACTTCCGATAGAATAAATACTCTGTAGAATGTAGTCAGTGAAAGCAGAAGTAGGATCGCGACGCTGGGAATAGATACACTCAAAGATGTACTTCACTATCTAATACTGTTTTGTATGAATGCTAAGATCTTTTTATAAACAAGATGGGAGTACCTGACTAATTTTACCCCTACTACTAGGTTACCTATTTCTGCATTTACGCTCGGTAGTTAGCATATGTAACTTTTCGACCAGTGTTTTTTGTTTTCATGTTTAATAAGTACCTACTTATGATATATATATATCAGTACACAGATGTACTTTTGATTTTGTATTAATGGAAATATTAATTTTTGTATTTTGTAATAATTTATTTAATTACATAAGTTCCTTAAATTGCTACCATTAATACTCGCTATCAATAAACCTTGTGAGAATGCGTTGTGTAATTATCGAGTGATTAAGATGCGTGGTTGTTGTGGTGTTTCGTTACAAGTTTAAAGCTATATATACATTTTGATTAAAAAATGATACATGGCATAAATAAAAAATAAAAATGATCCACTATCCGATTTACTAATATTAATGTCCTAAGGAAGAAAGAAGTGAAACTATAATTAATTTTTTTTTTAAATGAAATAATGGAACATGAAACAAGTTTGATTTTCTTAAAAAGTGATTGGATATCGATCATAGACAACCATTCTGGGGGAAAAATGTGACCGTTCAATAAATAATAATTAAATATAACATCTGCAATCTTTCTTCTTACATCACAATATATAAACTCCAATTTACTAATTCACATATTGTAGGAACTCTTTGAAATAAATGGAATATTTAATTTGAAATAAATTATTTTTAAGAATTTATGTTGTAAATTTACAATAATACTAGTACATGAGATATAATTAGGTAACTAGGCGACGCAAACTCAAGATGAGTTCTAACAAGCACAGTTTTCAGGGCATTAATATTCTTAAACTGTATTTTTGTTAATAAAACTTAGCATCTTGAAATCTGAAATACTATTATATTCAATATTTGATTACTATAGGCCAATGGCGTAATTTGGGGGAGGGGACAATTCATGAATTTTCCTCAGTTCATAATTTAGCTATTCCAAAATCGATATATCATCAAATTATAAGTACATCTTTTATAAAGTCATTATCATGTTGTAAACTCGGAAAATGAGACATGTAATAATATACATTACATTACGTCAAATTATATTTTTGGACTAGTTTAACGTCCCCCTCTCCCCACGTTAATCGGCACTTCGGTAAATGAGTCACCAAGTCAGCAATTTAATAAAAACGTGTCGACTGCCTTACTGTGGAAAAAACTAAAATAATTTCATTACTATAGATACTTAATAATTGTAATTCTAAGTTTTCGAAAAAAATATTACATGTATAAACACATGTAAAAAAGAAATAATAAAAAAAAAATTAAATTTTATTTTTAATTCGATTGTATATAAACAATAATTAAATTTTGTTAATGGTAAAGATATTTTTATCCTTGAAACTTACAGGGCTTTAGCTTGATATGATTTTTTTTTTTATAAAATAATAACCTATTAATTGCATCCATTATTTAATAAATACCTTTGTACCATGTTGTTTGTGATCGATGAAACTGATTTCTAGAGCTTTATTCTATGACATGTGTGACTGACACAATAGCGTAATCAATTAATAACAATAGTCGTGCCCTTACTAGTGTATCATAATAAAAACTACAGTAGCATTTATTACAGCTGTTAAAAGTGGTCACGCATTGGCCTACTACTCAGTTAGGTTTTACCAATCATTCGTAACACATGTAACTGTTTGTACAACTCACGTAAGTATATTTATATATCAATATATATATATATATATATCAATATATATATATATATAAAAAGGTTGGAATAAAATATTTTACATTTACTTCAAACTTGAATAAGAAATAAATCTTATTATAATATATTTCATTCATTTTCTGATATTTTAACTTAAAAAAAAATTTTTAGATACAGCAATTATTGTTTTTGGTATGCAATATAACTAAAAATATATTTATTTTTTATAATAATTATAATTTTTACTGATTATTTGCACTCAATAATGTTAATTTTTGAAATATTAGTAATGGCTATACTCTTACAGTCATCAATACTGTTACACTGCTATACTCGCTAAAGAAACCATATATATTTTGAGTTCAATGTCGAATTAATAAAAGCCATTAGAGTTGAAGTCTAACATGATACTATAAATTGATCGTGTTTAAAGCCAATTTAGCAGGTACCTATCGTGAAAGTTATGTATTTTTAATAAGTGCATAATATTGACCAATGTACTCGTATTTATAGAATGTCCATAATACTCGTAAAAATATATATATTAGTATTATAATAGTTGCTTGATATAATTATGAAAATCCAGTTACTTGTAGTAACACATTGGTTAATTTTAAATAAAAAATTATTGAAATTAATATGATTTCTTTATGAATTAAGTAAGAAATTATCGTTAGTGTAATACAAAAATAAAATTATATGAATTATAATTAAGTATAATTCATAATCCAACATTTTTGAAGATAATTATATAAATATTTAAGAAGTTTTTTGAAACATAAAATTTATATTAAAAATATTTGATTTCATATTTTCATATAGAAAATATTAGTAAATTATTAGTTAATAAATTGACAATTTTAATTTAAATAAAAAAAAAAAAAATTGTGTTTTTAGAATGAAGGACGGACTATCTGACACCGATCATAGCTGGTTCAAGTATTTTCTAAATACAATAAAATCGGTGTTGTCGTGCCGGAGTCAGTAAGTATATTAAAATTATTATCACCCGCAATTTATTTTTGGGAGATATAAGTTTATTATAAAGATAACTACGATTTTGGAAAACTATAGAATTAAATAAAAAGATTTAATTCTGATTATAACTTAAAAACTATTGATTTTTTATGTATTTATATGGTATATAATGATTAATTACAAATATAATATAAATCTAGAGTTTTTATTAAATATAGGAACCTACACAACAAATTGGTTCATAATATATTAGGGTACCTATATACTTATACTATAGTAGTATATACTTATACTAAGCCCCCCCCCCCCATAAATGTAAAGTACAGGTCTTAGCCCTCCTAGCCCTAAAAATTGTTAAGTGACTAAAAATACATTAATTATTATAGTTGTAAAATGCATTTTTAATAATTGAATTAAAAAAAAATATTCTGTGATAAAAATTAAATCAAATTCATAAGATTTTTCAAACTTATTGTCATGACTTATTGTAATATTAATAATATATAATAATACACGCATTGGTTGTTTAGTTTAATTAATTAATAATTTCTGTTTAGAATGCCTACTCCAAAAATGTTTAAGATAAGGCCCCTAATTGTTTTTTAGTTAAATTGTTGAGTATGTCAAATTGTCAAACTTTGTAAATTGCCTTGTTAAAGTAAACAATTGCGTATAGGGTTACCTATAGGAGTAATAAGCAAATAATGCTCAGTCCCCACTAATTTCACCAAATTTCCGTTTATGACGGTGCACAAATACAGTAATTACGTTTGATTATAGGAACATGGAATGTATAAATGGATCATAATGAGAATATTGGGATGTTTAAAGAAATTAGGGATAATACCTCAGGACATTCAATATTAAGATTCATCAATTTATATAGCCAGATCAAATCATTAAATTGTCTCTAAATTCTAGCGTTTCAATGTTAAAATTTGTTACTAGAGATTTTAGTGTTTGATCAACATTGTTTGTTTTGTAGTCTAACATATGCAAAAAATGATTTTGAATTCGTTCTAATCTTTAGATTAGTTCTAACCTAATCTTGGTGTGGGTTCCAAATTATTGATCCATATTTTAAAATTGAACGAATAAGGAAAAAATAAGGGACACGTAAATACATGGGGTCATTAAACTCTCAACAATTCCGGTTTAAAAATCCAAATACACGTTTCATATTTCGTTGAAAATATTATTAATTTGAAGCAAATTGAGTGAAGCAAAACTTTCGTAAATTGTATTACCTGATTTATTATGAAATCAAGGCCAATAGAATTGTTTATAAATCGAATACCAGTAAGTTAAAATCGCCGATAAGGGTAAAATTAATATCAAATGAGTATAGTCTATATATGTAATCAACGGTTTCGGTTAGGGCTGTATATATTTCTAACTTACTGACAGGTGGGATATAACATGAACCTAAAATTCATTTATGACCAGCGTGTTTAATGAATTCGGGGTATATCCCATCAAAACCAGCTGCCTTATTTAATTTGGTTTTGCTTAAGGCTTTATTAACCTCATCGAGTGTGAAAGGTACACCAAACATTGTATGTTGTTGTAGTTTTTTCTTTTGACGCCTGAGCTCTGTTTTTATGGTCCTATTGTGAACCTTGCATGATTGTGTTTTGCCCATCTCTATAATTCTCGATACCACCTCATTTGCACTCAGAATTTCTTGTTTCTTCTTGCTGTGACTGTGGTCTCCTAGTCTCTTCATCAGGCCCCACGCTTTATGACTCGAGTGAGTAAAGTCTAATTCCGCAGTAGTTTCACTTCATCTCTGTTTCCTTATAGTATTTAGCCTACCAATGAGATCATCTGCTATAGTGCTGTTATTATTTTTTCTGAAAGTCTTCAAATAATTTTGTACAGTCTTCATCCCAGCCAGGTATGTAAAGTTTCCTAAAGCCCCTAGGGATGTGTTTACTCGCTACCGATTTGATAGCTCCCACAAATCGATCATAAGAGCTAGCTTTAGGCGGGATCCAAGAGATTATATGGTCTAGTTCGTTTCCATAATCGACCCAGTTAGCCTTCCTAAAATTCCAACGTGGTTTAGGTAAGGATCGTATCAATGGAATCTGTAGTCCGTAGTTCAGCAATATCGGACGGTGCTGACTATGTGGGAAATTTCCCAGGATGTGTCTCGTTACCATAGTGTTGTCGCTTAAGGAGGTCCTAGAAGCTATGCTTAAGTCCGGAGTATAGTTTTTTAACCACCTTGCTGACCGGAAAGTACCCCTATCTTTGGCGTTATATATGAGTTTCATGTTGTGTAGTACCATCCATTCCTGAAGTTTGTTTCCATTAGCATCATTTTCGTCGTACCCCCATTCCAGACTGTGACTATTAAAATCGCCTACGTATAAGGCAGGGTGATCGAATGTTTTAATTGTGGGGGACTTCCATTGGGTGTTAGGTGGCTTATATATATTAGCGACAGTCACAGTCCCTATGAGGGCTACCAGTACATGGATGTCATCTTGGTTATCTTCGAAAATAATCCGGCACGTATCTATATCTTCTTTAATATATGTGGCCACACCGTATTGTTTATGGTGTATCGCTCCGAGTAGCAGGTAGCCTTGTATGAATCCCCTTTTTCCTATATCCTCATCGTTTAATGTGTGGGTTTCTTGTAGTGCGATTACATCGACCCTTTCTTTATTCATAATTTTTGACAAAACTTCACATTTTGATTTTGAAATTCCTTCAATATTGAAGTGGCAAACCCTGAGGTCGCCACCAATACTTAGCGTTAGGTGGTCCTTAAAAGGACCATTTTTATTTGTCATCGCTGACAGTGGCGTTGATTTGGGTTGCTGGGTATCAGCGCCTAGTGGTGGTATTGATACGTTAGTTTTATGTCGAAATCACATAAACTAAACGCATGCAGGGAGGGCTACGAGCAAGCTACCACCATCCTCCCCATATTTGTAGTATTTATCACTTATTAATATTGAAAATATAAAACACGCACCGACAATGAAGACGCATTGTTAATAATAAATAACAAATACGCAGGTCCTATCAGATCGGCGTACTGTACTGTATGTGTGAATATAAAATAAAGTAAACAAGTTTATAAGCAAATGTGAAATTAAACATTTAAATTTTAAAAATATTTACTATTTATATAAATAATTTTATTGATATTAGGAACATCATGAAGACAACTCGAGATGTTTTTTATGTTATCTGTTACTGTAAACCCAAGCTAACATCATACCATAAACTGCTGATATTATATTGGATGAACACTAAGAATTTTTTTTACCATCATGCTGTATTAATGACTTCATTTATGTTATGGTTAATCAAATATAATTGGTGGCCAGTCAGATTCTTAATAGAAAAGTATTATTTTATTTTGAATTTTTTGGATCAAAAATTGAATTGGATTGAATCAGAATTGGATGGTCCTAAAATATGTGAAGTGAAATGTGAAGTACTTTACAATCCAGGACCTCAGTCTACTTTTATGGATGTAGTTTTTATACATGGACTAAGAGGTGACAAACTTAAAACATGGAAACAAGGTGTATGGAAACAAGTAGTTCAGAAACCTGAACCCGTTGTTGTCAGGAGCTCAGGATTGTCGACTACCAACCAACTTGAAAAATTGGCCATAGACAAGAAGATTAAAGAGTTTACAAATTGTTGGCCTAGAGATTGGTTGCCACTAGATTGTCCATACGTTCGAGTCATAACTATTAGCTACAGTACCGATCCTTATTTGTGGAGACCTATATGGCTTAGAAAACCATTTAGGTAAGAATCTTAATTAATTTTATTGATTTTTTAATAAACGAGTATCGTATTCTATTTGTTAACACTATATTTAAAATTTACCGTAGAACTTTAATGAAAAAAAGAGTAATTAGAAAATATTTTCTAAATCTTATTACCATTGTCTATAATAAATATGTATAGTTTAAGTACATAAACAATTAATAATCCTATAAATAGTGTTGTTATACACAAAGGCAATTTCCAAGGGACTATTATTCCTACCTTATCGTAAATTTAAGTTAGATGACTTTTTATAGTTTGATATAATATGTTTACCAATCATCATAAATAAAATTACTCTCTTTCGCAGGGGCGTATTTAAACTTACTTCTAATGAGGGGGGGGGGGCTCAATTTTTTTTTTTAATTCAGGCTTAAAATTTATAAGTAAAATTTTTGGTAATATTTAAATCAGGTGAATCCTTAATATTTGTGTTTTTTTTTTTTTTACTCTAATGCCGGATCCAATTAGAATGGACTTTTGTGTAGTTCTTTTTTAACACCTATCTGTGTTTTGAAAGTTTCGCTTGGATTAGGTTAGGTGTTTTATTTGATTTTTTACTAAGTATGGATCAGAGCTTAAATCAAAATAATATATATTGTTTACCGTTAAATGGGACATTTAAACGTTTTAAGCAATTGAGCGTTTAACGCTATAAATAATTTAAACATTATTGACAATTAAAACATAACGAATTTATTAGCGTTTTGCGTTATTTAAATTAGTGTAAAATTTGAAACGTTTTCAAATTTAGTATTTAGTAATAAATACTATATAAAATAAATAACATTACATATTTTAAATATTATATTATATACGATTATATATTACTTTTAACTAGTGGTATATTGGTAAATATATTTGTATGTATACGCACTAAAAAAATATGGATATTAATACTAAAATACATTTTCTTGCTTCGCTTGATACGTTGGAAAAAATGTAACTAATCCTTTGTAACTACATGTTTATAATTTCTATTAAGACTATAAAATATAACACCACAAGATATACATTTGCAGCGCATTATAAATTACAAGATGCAGATTTAAGAACCATGGGCTAATTGTTCACTCTCCATACTATTTTATTTATTGTTATTCACTACAGTTAACAAAATAAACGTACACTGTAATCTTTAACAGCTAAATATTTCAGTCAATTTCATGGTTCATAATAACTTTTTCCAATGAACTATTCAATTATTATTAGTTTTTTTGTTTTATAGTTATATTAGAAGCGTATACCCGTAAAATAATATTTTACATTAGGTATACGCCGAAAATCGAAAATCTGCTGATGTGTTTGCGTCGTATACCCGCGTATACGTACCAATACACCCTTGTCTTAACCTCTCCAAAAATAAAAAATTAACAACAATTCTTACATATTTGCAGAATTGGGTATATTAAACATTCACAGGGAAGTTGAAATTACTGTTGATGAAGTGATAGAGGAGTTGGCCAAAAAAATCGATACAACTGGAATTTATTTTATAACAATACTTTATAATATATAATGCTAAATACAATATATAGGTACATATATATAATATTACATAAGACTTTACGATTATTACATTATATATTTAGTTCAACTTCCTCCAAAAACTGTATAAGGACGTAACTATTACAATATAATATAAAATATATATTAATTATGTATAAACTGTGGATCCCCTCCAGAAAAAATTGAAAATACACCACTGCCTGCCTTTGACGATATTTTCTTTTTGTAATTCTCATAACTCATAACTTATAAATAAAGCAATCATATTTGTTGTATAACAACAATAAAATGCACATACCACGTAAAATATGTATTTATTGTCAATTTATAACTTATGTATGGTGTGTATTACTACTAATATTTCATCGGTGTTTACCGAAATTATTTTTGGTAAGGCAGGCCTACAGGTTCCGCGCCGACAATATCCGACGTATTTTCAGAAAGCATATTTATAAATTATAATTGTTAATGCTTATTTATATATTATTAATTGATAAATTTATTGCTGTTTTAAATATCCTTTTTATATATATATATATTATTTAGATTACATAGTAATTTAAGTCAATTTTACAAAAATAATTATGTTCCAAGTCTATTTTACTGATTGATATAAATATTTTTTGATGGCAATTTCTTTTAGGTTTCAATCGTTAATCGTTTTCTGTTATGTTATTAAATATTAATTTTAATCGTTTTTCGTTTCTGTTTTGTTAACTGTTATCGATTTCAATCGCTTTTTGAATAGTTTAACGTTATACTTATAACGTAATAAAAACGTTTTGGTGCCATGGTATGGACACTAAATATCGTTATAAAATGATCCACATTAAAAAAATTTGAAATGTTTATCTCACATATGATTGATTCCTTAAATACGAATTCAGGGGGGCGAACGCCCCCTCACCCCCTAAAATACGCCATTGCTCTCTCGACAAGCTGAAAGTTGTATTATATTATATTCCCACTGAAAATAATATAAACTGATAGATAATTGATATTAAATACACTATAATATTTAACATTAAAATATGATATTCTTTTAAGTTATTAATTTTTGTCTGAAATACTATGCACTAGTATGGTTGCCAACTAGTGATGGGTCGAACTGTTCAAATCTCGAACCGAACCGAACCCTTGATGTTCGGTTTGGTTCGAAATTCGAACTTGGCATGAAAAAAAAATCGAACCGAACTATCGAGCATCTTTTACTGTTCGAAAATCGAACTTGAAAATATTTGTCAAACCAGACTTACTGGCCACGATGGTTCGAAAACCAAATATTTGTACAATTCATCAAAAGTTATTTTTGAAAAAATAAAATTTGATAATGATTATTTAGAAATAATTAGACTATTGGCAATGGAAAGTGATAATCTGTAAAGGGCACGTTATGCATTATTTATAGTAATAACACTATTATTATAATAATAATGTTATTTTTCCAGTCGCATGTATACATCCATCTTCCGCCAACCAAAACATTAATAAGTTGTTTATCGCCAATAGAGGCAGTGTATCTACATTCATAAATTAGCTATTTTTGTTTTTATTATATTTATTATAGAGGTTAAAATCTATTTTAGGTAAATCCAGTGCTCTAATTGGGGGGGGGGGGGGGGGGCGTGGGGGGACGGAGCTCCTCTACTTTATTTTTTTTTTGCGTACCCCAACTATATTTTTTCTCCGAAACGGGGGGACGCCACGGTCATCCTAATTGATGTCTAATTGAAATTATCTAAAATTTAAATGTATTGTAAATAAAAAAATTATTTAGACTTAAAAGTTAAAATGTAGAATAAGTAATACGAAAACTTTTTTTTTTTTTTTAAAGAAATACAATCTGTACACAATAATTACAATAATCAAATTTGATAAAATAAAAAGAACAAAGTAACATGAATATCGTGTTGAGGAAGAAAGAAGTAATACCTCTTTTTATAGGCACAACTAGAGTTCAATTTCTGGATGGGCTGAATTTTAATGATATCAGCGACCCGTGGAGGCTTCGTCCCCACACCCCCAATATTGATTATCAAAATTAACATTTATATTTATATAAATTAGAAGTCCTTACGACCTTACCCATAGTCGTTAATAATTTATTTCGAAGTAAAATGTTGTCACTTACCTAATCACTTATTACTTACAGACTAGCTACCTAAATAAACACGAATAATAAGGATATACATATATAATCAATGAAATATACAGGTCATAGCTATTACATTTTTATTATAAAGCTTAATTAAATTAACAATATTTTTTTATTTTTTTTCAACAAATTTATTTACAAATTCATTTTCTTCAAATTTGTTGGTTACATCTCTCTTTATATTTAAAATAGATAAATTTGTAAATCGATCATGGGCCATGGAAGATCTAAGCCAATGTTTTATTCGTCTCATTGAAGAGAACGACCTTTCACAGGTGTCTGAACTTATAAAAATAGATTAAACCACTTGTATAAGTTTAGAAAATTTGGAAATATTTGTTTATCGACTGCTTTAACATAATTTATATTGAAATCTTCTTTTTTTTACTATTTAAAGGTTAAATGCCATTCTAATTTCTGCTCCTAAGCTACTCTTTGAAATATGAAGTAATTTCTATAATTATAATTATTATAATTAATTAATTAGTTATCATTAATCTCTTATACAATTAAAATGTATTTATATACATGGTATTACCAAATTACCTTATAATGATCAATAAACTTCATTGAATCGGTTGTAATTTACAAAATGAACTACAACCGAACTGGCCATAGCCAAGCTTTAATCATAAAACTTATATTTAAGATTGAAAATAACACTGTCCATAGTAAAAAAAATATGTAAAAGTTTTCCAATAATTTTCTACATAATTTGCTAATGACGAATATGAATCATTTTCTGCCGCCGTGGTAGCTGTTAATACATAGCCATGAAGGCTAGTTGACTCTCTTCTGCGATGCTCTAATCCTATATTTTATATGTATTATTTAGGTTAAAAAACATAAAACAAATTATCAAAATCACAAAATATATATACCAGCTAATGGAGTTAGTAACCACATGTCATTTTCTTCAGCATAATATTTTTAGTTATTCCCATATTTTCTTAAATTCATCTTCAGATCTTAGAGTTTCAAATGTCTTAATTACACCAAAAATTACATTTTTAGAAGAACCAAGAGTTGATGTTTTATTTTGTAGTGAAACTGAATAGGCTACGGACAAAACTGGGTAGGCTTAGCCCACTCAAGCCCCCCCCTTAGTTGCGCCTATGCCTTTTTTACTAATTTAATAGGTCTCTACACCATTTATGTTTTAGTCTGTGTGGCGGGATTTTTGGGAGGGTAAGGGAGAACATGTTTGATATTAATGTATTGCTATGCGTGTTTAAATTTTGGTGGAAACGTTAATACATTGTTTTGGCTAGTTCAATAGTAATTATTATTTTTAAGTTGTTGTGCAAGGTAGAGT